CATCCCTCTCCAGTGAGGACAGAGAATGGGGCCAGTGCACTAGCATCCCTCTCTAGTGCGGACAGATGCTTTCTGAGCCTTCCCTTTGAGTCTCATCTCTGGAATGCCTGACATTCAGTCTCTGTGCTTTCCTGGTAGTTCCCACAACCTTCAGGTCTGTGTAACTGTTGCTTTTGAACACAGTGGCTACCTAAACTAGGAGCCTCTTCATAGCCTTTGCCATTAAGGCAAAGTGTGTGGTGCCTGCTTGGAATCCCAACATCCAGGAGGTGGGGGCAGGAGGGCCAAATGACTGGGGCCAGCCTGGGCTGTATAGCAAGTACCTGTGTCAAGAATAAGATCTAATTCATGCACTTATTTGTATGGTTGTGCAATGCCCCTACCTAAGGCACTCAGCATTCTCTGCATTTGGTTATTACTAAGTAAGTGGATAAGTAGGGTTCTCAAAGGAGTCTGTAATTCATCAAGCAATTAGGTAAACACACAAAATGAAACATTTTATACTCAATGTTCACTCGGAAAATTACAGAATACACTAAGTTTGGGAACAATATGATGTTTCATAAATATACCTCCTAATTGGGAAAATTGCTCTTGAGAGGCAGCTCCTTCTACTTCTAGCTGTATAATCAGTAAAGAATAAGGACACTATTACACAAATCACATCATTGACATAATCGCACCAGTCAACCTGATATGCATTCTACATCACTTTTATAGGAAAAATAAAAAATTTGATTCCTCTTTATTATAGACCTCTGTGCCACGAGTGGCCAAGATTCCTCCTTGAACAATTTTATTCTTTATTTTTAAAAAGCAGAACAATTAAAAATGCTTATTGTGCTTGGGAATAAGTTCTTATGGTTAATTTTAACCTAGGAGCCAACTGAGAATTAATTAGCATTTAAAAACTCTATGCAGAATATGTTAGTTCTTTCCTTGTACCTTAGGAACTTTCCTATTGCTGTGAAGAGACACCATGACTAAGGCAACTTGTAAAAGGGAGCATTTAATTTGGGGCTTGCTTACAGTTAGAGGATAAGTCAGTGCCCATCATGGTGAGGAGTGTGGTGGCAGCAGCAGGCAAGTATGGTGCTGGAGTAGTAACTGTGACCTTACATCTGATCAGCAGGCAGAGATAGCAAGACTTGAGACTTTTAAAATCTCAAAGCCCATCCCCAGTGACACAGGTCTGCCAAAAAGGCTACACTTTTTAACCCTTCCACCAGTTCCACCAACTGGGAACCAAACTTTTGAATATATGAGCCAGTTCTCATTCAATCCACAATACCATGCTTGGTTAATTGCACAAAATAAACACAAATATAGCTTTGTGTTCTTGAGTTACAGAGAAGCTTGGCCCCATCTCTGAATTTCAACTGGGACTACACACTGGCATAGGAATTCTCACCGGCTTTCCAAGTACCTTGACTCCTTTCTCCACAAGTACACAAAGGAAATAAGAGAAATCCCAGCTAATGGACAGTACCATTTAATCAAGTCTGGCTTCCTAATGTTGCCAGTAGTGTCTTGAGTACAATCTTTTCAGCCCTGGGTCTAGTAATATATTGTCCCAGCTCTTGCACAGATATGAACCTTAAGGTCTTTCATGGGATCCAAGTTACTGATGCTCTTATCTTTACAATTTCAGCGGAAACCTCCATGTACCTCCCTGCCCTGGAGATACTCAACCTTTCCTGGAATAAGTGTGTTGGTGGGAACCTGGAGCTGCTTCAACAAACACTAAATTTGTCAAGGTCGCTTCGAGTGCTGCGGCTGAGCAGCTGCTCGCTGGTGACAGAGGATGTAGTTCTCCTGGGTTTGTATGAACCCCTCCCAGGGTAGTCTTGGCACAAAGCATGGATAAAGTGGTGGACCTGGGGCTGACCCAGCTTCCTTTCCCTCCTCATCAGCTTAGGAGAGATCTGGTTAAACAAGATAGTGTAATTATGAAGCCGAATGGCAGAGGAGGGTGTTTCTGGGACAGTGTTTCTGAGGACAATGAGGAGGGAAGAAGGCTCCTACCAGGAAGCTTCTGCTTCAGCCATCCACACAGAGGTCATCATTTGCAGTGTACTCGCACTAACAGCTTGCACTCTGGCTACCTGGTACTTGCACTGTTCATTTTTCCTATAAATTCACCCCCAAATGCTTTTATTTAAATAAGAAAGGAGTGAGGGCATAAAGTAATTGGATTATTTCTGTCCTCACTAGCTTCCAAATGAATGAGCCCCAGACTATGATTTATTTATCTAGCTTTAGCAGAAATACTGGGAGAAATACTCCTAATCTACTTTTTTAGTGCTAGATTGCATACTTCCCCAGCTGTGCTCCCCAAATACTTGTCTGTGTCTTCCTGGTTTATTTCTGTTCCATCAGCATGTCCTCAGGGTCCACTGCACTTTGGACATGTGCTCTTGGTCCATCATGACTAGTGGAGACCTTCTGTTCTCTCTTTGTTTCCTCTTCCTTCCTCCTCGTGATCCCTACCTGCAAGACCCCCAGCCTGGTAAAGGAAACTCTGCCTACTTCTATTCTCCTCAGTAATTGGCTGTAGACACTTATTTAACCAATAGCTTTAAATTGGGGAGCAAGGTTTACAAAGCATCATTTGGCGTATGCGAGGATCTGCTTGTCAGGGGCAACCAGATCTTGGGAATCAGTATTTAGCATTTGAATACATAGCAGTACCAGACAAACCACCAGCATGAGAGTCTGAGGCTGTATCTCAGTGGTAGAGTACTTTTCTGGCATGCACAGGCCCTGGGTTAAATCCCTAGCATCTCAAAATAAGTTAGTAATACAAAGAATTAATTACAGTAGACTGGAGAGATGTGTCAGCAACTAAGGACACACAATATTCTTGCAGAGGACCCATATTTGGTTCCCAGCTCTCACACTAGAGAACTCACAAGTTCCATAGGCACCTACAATTAGGTGTGCATAACCCCATATAGACCTATATACACATGCATATAAAAATAAAAATATATCCTTAAAAATCAAGTAATAAAATAAGGAAAAAAAAAACCATGGTGGGCAGTAGTCACACATGCCTTTAGTCCCAGCACTTGAGAGGCAAAGGCAGATGATTCAAGGCCAGCCTGATCTACAGAGTAAGTTTCAGGACAGCTAGGGCTACGAAAAAAAAAAAAAAACCCTGACTCAAATTAAAGATGAGACAAAGCAGGTGTCATCTTAATTGAAATACGAGTATCAATTACTACAGATATTAGCTTACTGAAGGCTTTAAGTAGAAGTTCATTCTTTCTATGTAAAAAAAAAAAAATGACATGAGAAGGCTTTAAGAGATGCTGTAGCACAAACCTCATGCTTTCCCCAGGACAATTTAGAAGTCTGGAAAGAGAATTAAATAAAGAGTAATTAAAGCTGTCAGAGTCCAAGTAACGTACCTTAGCCCAATATCCCTTCAGATTACAATCGTAGTGTCCACTTCCTATCTGGGAACCATGGTGAAGCATGATGCCCCTCATATAGCTTTAATAATCCCCATCACTTCTCTGCTACCAGCTGCCAGATTTCTAGAGCCATGAGTATTCCTTAAGATAAACTGACCAAGGTAGAGGAAAGTGATTGGTTGGAGTCACTAGAAGATAGGCTGGGATGCTAAGAAGGGCTTCCTTCTGTAAAATCAGCCTCACAATGAAATGAAAGAGTATGGGTGGAGGTTACAACCATGGCGGCCATCAGTAGACGGCTGTCAAAGGGATATTTCACAAATCATTCATCTGTAGGTTAGATGAAGAGATCCTTTGTTCTGAGACCCTGTATCACTTATCTCTTCTCCTTAATCCTTTTCGGGTTCAGCTGAAGAGGGAAGCAGGTGCCCTTGCCTTGAGTATCTTGCCTATTTCCTCCAGCAGAAGCGGTCATCTTCTCCAAGGCTAAAGTATGATAAAGAGCCTCCAAAGAGGAAATTATCTCGTGTAGTAGAAGTCTCAAAAGTGAACTGGAAATTACATGTATATTTTATACACTGAACTTACTGTTAGGGATGGTGATATAGCTCAGTGATAGAGTGCTTACCTCACATGTATGAGACACTAGACTCCATTTCCAGCACCTCCAAAATGAAGACACTCTGTCAAATAATTGTTGGATCAATAACCAGCATTAAACTTGCAAATTTAATGCTATGTACCAATGGTCCTTAATTAAAGCCAGTAGGTCATCACTCTGTGCATTAATTAGGAAAATGTCTGCAGGAGAACTAGGACTCCAGAGGAGCAAAGGACTTGAGCTAATACAAAAATGAAATTCTTCCAACTGAGGCTTACAAAAGAGAGGCTGGGGGGTCCATTTTCATGCTGTGTATGGGATGCACAGTGGTAAATTTTCTTACTGAAATACTTTCTGATGCCCCAAATAAAACAGCTGGTTAAAAGAAAGTTATTATTAATTGTCAATCACTTCAGAAGTGGTGTATTACTGGAAAGGGGAACAGTCAAGGAAGAGAGTATCCTTATATCTTACACTGATTTTGTTTTCCAGCCTCGGTCATACAGACAGGACATTTAGCCACGCTGCAGAAGCTTGACCTGAGCTACAATGATGGTATTTGTGATGCAGGATGGGCCATCTTCTGCCAAAACCTCTGCTTTCTTAAAGAGCTAACTGAACTAGACATTAGCCTTCGACCTTCAAGCTCCCAAGACTGTGGGCAATGGTTTAGGCACTTACTATATGCTGTGACCCAACTTCCTGCAATCACTGAGATAGGGATGAGAAGATGGGTCATCCCAGCCCCCCAGGAAAAAGAACTAGATTGCATTACCCAGGACCACAGAAGAGACATTCGATTTGACTATGGTGGGTTTCAGTGCGATGCTTTGTAAGCAACGAACAACTCCTAAAAGGAGGAGAAGAATGTAAACAAATCCTGGCATCAGCTATGCTCAGCCTGTAGCTGCTTAGTAGCTTTTGTGTTGTAAGATTTTTGTAGTTATATGTATATAACAATGGTTCTCAACCTAAGTCTCTACCCATTTGGAGGTCAAGTGACCCTTTCACAGTGGTCACATATCACACACTCCCGCATATCAGATATATACATTATGATTCACAACAGTAGCAGAATTATAGGTATGAAGTAGCAACAAAATAATTTTACGGTTGAGGGGCTCACCACAACGAACTTGTGTTAAAAGGTCACTGCATTAGGAAATTTGAGAATCACTGGTATATAATAACCAAATAAGGAGCTGAAAAGATAGCTCAGTTTAGAAAGTGCTTGCCGTATAAGCATGAGAACCCGAACCTGATCTAAGTAGCTCATATAAAAAGCGAGGAGTGGTGGTGTGCTTGTAGTCACAGTGCTGTAGAGACAGAGATAGGCAGATCCCTGAGGCTTCCAGGCTAGCTCATCTGTCAGAAGCTGAGTTCCAGGCCTAGTGAGAGACCATGCCTCAAAAACCAGCTGGGTAGTGCTCTAGAGGAACAATACCGGAAGTTTCTCTCTGCTTTGCACACACACACACACAACACACACACACACACACATCTGCACATGCACACACATACATATAGAAACACACCTGTATAAGCACTCACATTTGAACATATATACACCTGTATGCATACTTGTACACATATACTTATACAAACAAAATAATGATAATAAAATGTGAGTATATCTTTAGTTTCTCTTACAAGACAAAGATGGCATTTTAGAGCAAAATTTTCATTTGTTTTAGATGAATAATTAATCTACTTCCATTTAGGAAGCCCACTAGAAGTGTTCATACTGTGGTAATGCTTCTGATTTATTTATTGTTTTGAGCTTTTCTGCCTTGTTTCTTTATATGTAAGCTTAGACTTTTCAAAGCCTACTTTAATAAAGGTTCTTAAATATTTTAACCTCCCTTGTAGCCTACCACACAACAGAGGTAGTAGAAAGAAAGGTTAATAGGGAAAAGGGGGATGTGGACCTGTTTAGAAATTGTTCTTTGGGGGTGATTCCAATCTGTGTTGTCAGGATATCAGTAGTTCAGTTTACATGAACAGCGGTGGTAGACTGACGTGCAAACACCATTCACAAATCAGCAACAGCAGTTCTATCAGAAGAAACCACAAGGCCCAAGTCCACAGAAGTAGCAAGAAGCCATTGGAATATTGTGAGAAGTTTTTTTTGATGCATTTTTCTTTATGAAGTCACAACAAATAATGATCAGCAAAGAAGGCAAGGCAAACCAATGCCACCAATGCATCATCAGTGAAGACCAGTGTCAGCAAAGCAGAACAAAGACCATCGAAGAGTGACAAGGTGAACCAACACCACAGAATCATTGATTGTCTGTTTTACCCTTTCCAAACATCAAGTGTCTTCTCAAGCATCTACTCTAACAAAATATCACATAGTCCTTTTCCAGGCTGCTTCCAGAAAAACATCATGTGTCTGCTTTAGCAAAATATCCTCTCATAAGACAGTTTCCAGAAAAATATCACATGACACAACTGAGTCTCCAAAGAAACCAGAAATTTCCACTTCACCTATATATGTGTTCTACAAAGGTGTGTATGTGTGCACACACAGATGTCTATGTGTATAATTCTGAGAAAGGTACTCACTTGTTCGTGTGTGTGTGTGTGTGTGTGTGTGTGTGTGTGTGTGTGTGTGTCTGAATGCCTGCACATGGAGGTCCAAAGACAATACCAGTTGTCTTCTATTGCTCTCCATTTCATTTACTGAGGCAATGTCTCTCACTGAACCCAGAGCTTGATGATTCCAGTGAGTCCTGTTGGCCAGTTTGCCCAGGGATTCCTTGATTTGCTTCCAAGTGCTACTACACTTGCATGGATTTATGTAGGATCTGGGGATCCAAGTTCTGGTCCTTGTGCTTGCATAGAGGTGTTTTATGCACTGAGCCATCTCCCCAGCATTCATGTTAACCATTTGTGGTAGTTTAAATATGCTTGGCCCAGGCAGTGGCACTATTAGGAGGTGTGGCCCTGTTGGAGTAGATGTGGCCTTGTTGGAGGAAGTGTGTCACTGAGGGGGTGGGCAGTGAGAGCCTCCTCCTAACCACGTGGGAGCCAGTCTTCTGCTAGTGGCCTTTAGATGAAGATGCAGAACTCTCAGCTCCTCCTGCTCCATGCCTGCATGGATACTGCCATGTTTCTGCTTTGATGATAATGGACTGAACCTCTGAATCTGTAAATCAGCCCCAATTAAATGTTATCCTTATAAGAGTTCCCTTGGTCTTGGTGTCTGTTCACAGTACTAAAACCCAAACAAAGAAACTATTATTGTAACATGTAAAATTTCTCCTATTATATTTCTTTCTTAGATATAAACTATCCACAGTAGCAATGGTTACCAGCATATGTGAGTTTGGTTTCTTTTTTAAGTAGCCAACAATTTAAAAGACAGCATCAAAATCATATCCTTCTAAAATAAAATAAAACCTTCTTTGGCTGGAACAAACAAATTCCAATAAACATTTCTCCTGGCATTTCTTGCTTTTTGTTTGTTTATGAAAGCTTTGTCTTATGGTATCCAAGTTTTAAACATTTTTATTTCCTGGAGGGTAAGTCAGTAAACAGCAAGAATGATCATTATGAATTTGTATTCTGATGCATGCAAGTCAACTAGGTTTTTTTTCCTACATGACAATATGAATAATTAGAATTTCAACCATGGCTTAAAGATGTATGAATGTAAAATCTGTGCGATGGTTCAGAGATAAAAATGCTTGGTGCCAAGCACGGCCATCTTAGTTCAATCCCCAGGACACACATGATAAAGAGGAGAACTGGGTGTGGCAAGTTGTCCCTGGCCTCCAGACATATACCCTGGCATGCACATGCCCTCTAAATTAATAAATGTGATACAATTACATTTAAAATCAGTACTGTTCCAAAAGCAAAGTCATCAAGGCAAGGTAGTTCTGAGAGCAGTGAAAGAGGTGCTTTGCAGATTGGGATTGGGTTCTCTTGAGTATTCCCTTACAGATGTAATGTTTATGCAAAGACCTGTGTGTGAATATTCACTGTAGCTTTATTCATAATAAATAACTTTTCAATAATGGGTGAACACTTAAACAGCTTGAAAGACTAGGTCATGTGCCCAGTCACAAAGTGCATAAGCTGACCAGAGCCACTGAAACACGAGCTGAATGCTGGGATCGCTGTCGTTCTGTCTCTCACTTTTTCCATGGACCTACTTGTATATTCATGACTTTCCCCAAGTATTTTTAAATACACAAAAGAGTGCAGGGATCCCCACATGCTCATCAGCTATATCTGTGCTTGTCAATTAGCATCTCTCCTGTCTTGCTTCGTTTGAACCTGTGGCTCCTTGCCCTTTTAGTATGCTATTTTGAAGCAGTTCCCAGGTGTCATATCATTGTTTCCACAAACATTTCAGTAAAATAAGATTCTTTTTTTATTACAAAATTAATTTCAGGGGTAATTTTCATGTGGCTGTTGTCTGGTCCCTAGACATGGTGCCTTCCTGCTCTGTTAGCAATCTTTATTTTCATTCTTTCATTTACATAATTATTTTTTCTTCCCTTTTGCAGGTTTTCCCTTTGCAGCAATTTTTCCTTTCTTATCTTTTGGAGGGGATTTTCCCTTTTTCCGGGCTTTCATTAGCTCTTCATAAGATCCATATCCTCTGCGGACCATGATTCCACGCCACCACGCCTGAATCTGAGAAAAGATAGACCCCAACTTGGTGTTAGATGGAGTTAGCTGTGGTCTAGCTGTGGCTTACTCCTCTAAAAACATACTGAAAGGTTGGGGGATGCAGTAGACAGGAGTATTTTTTGTGTAAGAATAAGAACCTGAGTTCAAATATCCAACATCCTATATGTAATATGTTTATACCTCCAACACTGTATGGTGGAAGCAGGCAGAGCCTAAGAGCTCACTAGACAGCCAGCCTAGCTGAAATGGTGTTCTTCCAGTTGGGTGAGAGCCTTCGTTTCAAGACAATTGGGTAGAGGGCCATAAATTCTGAAGGCCCTGTGTAGTAGAGTGAGGGACAGTAAATGTATGACTGAGCTTGAGGTGGAGTTCACCTGACAAAAGGCTGGCCCAAGTGTACATGAAGTCCTAGGTCTGACCCACAACACCACATAAGTTGGTTTTGTGGTCAATACCTAAAGTCACAGCATTTGGGAGATAGAGGTAAGAGGATCAGAACTTGAAGAATATTCTTGGCTATGTTTTGAGTTTCAGGCCAGCCTGGACTACCTGAGACTCTGCCTTAAAATAAAACTCAATTGGATGTGTGTGTGTGTGTGCGTGTGTGTGTGTGTGTGTGTGTGCATGTGCGTGTTCATCATGTAGTTCAATGCAATTGTGTCACACATAGCTTTGTACAAACACCACTGGAGTCAAGACATGGGGTACTCTTCACAAGTCTCCATTGTGACTTTCTTTTGTAGACTTCTGAAAGTGTAAAGGGTGACATTGACAAAGGGGAATAGCAGCATATTGTATGGAGAGCCATGACATCGAGTGTGCACCCCCTGCTTCCCTCTCATAAAGGGGAAAATTAACAAAAATACCCCAATAGCCAGCAACTTCAGTTTATAAGAAGAATGAATTAAATTCTAGAGACATACGAGTATACATCTGTCACCATCTCGCCTCTCCCTCCTTCCTTTTCCTCTCTTTCTGTGTTTTTCTCTCCTCCCAACTCCTAGCTCTGCCTCCCTCTTCCCTGTCCAATGACAGGGCTCCCACTGCAAATGCATTGGGCAGGAAATTTCAGCCACACTATCAGAGCTCAGCTATCCTGCTACAAAAAGTTCTTACTGTTTCAAGACTGCTGAAACAAAAGAAAACAACCTTAAAACCAACTTTATGAAGATGAAAGAGGTCCTTAAGG